TTTTGGGACTTTTTGAACCAATTTACATATTTATAATTTATATATATTTATTTAAATATTTAGATTTGTTGAAATTCGATCCTGGTTTCTTGTTCAAAAAGTTCTTCGAGTCGATGATTTGACAGTTGGATCAGTTCTACCTTCGAGTTTGACAGCTCCAGGTAAACAGTAAAGTTTTAGTTATAATTATAATTTATTTATTCACAATTATGTCTATAGTCTATAATATTTGATAAGGATTTTATTTACGCTTAATGTGAGTTTGTGATCAGTTGAGTTCAAAAATGTTATGTGCTTCCAAAAGAACGATGTAAAAGAATGTTGTGCAATTCTGTGACTTTACCATTTAAATTAGATTTATATGAGTTCAATTACATGCAAATATGCCCTTTCAAAGAAATCATGAGAGCAGCTATGAAATCTAACACGATGATCTGAACATATCCACAGTAAGTACAAATTGATGATCATAAATTAAAATAAAATGCTTTGTAGTTATTATCCCACTAATTGTAAGCCAAAATCTTTACGTATGATTAATGTAAAAAATACGTAAATGATTGGGAGAAATGGCTATTAGTTTTTGGCAAGGGCAGGCCCAGCCATTACAAAGATACAGGGCTAAATATACAAAAAATTGCAGTTTTTGAGAGAAATAAGCATCCGAATTGAATGATTTAAAAAACTTTCTGCTTGTGTTGACAAAACAATTGCTTTTGGAAAGAAAAACTGACTTTGTGATTCAGTTTATACAATTCTTATAAATATTATACAATGTTACAGTATTTATAATAATCTATTTGAAAACATTTAATATCCCTCGAACATTTGGTTACGGTACGTTCCAGAAATTTGCCTTAAGGCTCTAAGCCATACATCAATAGTTAGAATTTACTTTACATTGTTCTATACACTTGGGTATCAAAATCTTGAATAATTTGTACTTGAAATGCGGATAAGTATCAATATGTGGAGTTAGAGCATTTTTGTACATTTTGTCAAATAACTTTTAAAACAAATAATTTTGTTCTAGACATTCAGAATTTTTATATCAGTTTAAACTAGATAAAATTTACTCAATTTAATATAAATTATTATGTGCACTTAAATATTGAATTTAAAATGAAACTAGTAGAAACGCAGACCTCAATATTTTTATAATTTCAATATTTGATTGTAGGACTTTTTTCACATTATGTCAAATATTTTGAAAATTTTTTCCGGTCACATAAACTAGATTAAATTTGCTAGAATTTAGTATAAATTGTTAAATGCTCTTGGCTATCAAAATTTTGAACAATAGTTAGTTGGAACGCAGGTTTGAGTTTGATGATTAGCAATATGTGGATTTGGGACATTTAGTTGAATTTGTTCGGTGGACTTAAATTTATTTACATTAGTAAAAACTAGATAAAATTTACTAAAATTGAGTTTAATAATTGGCTATAGGTTGATTTTGGACGTTTTTTTTATATACTGTCAAATAACTCTAAAATTTTGTTCTAGGCATTTTAATTTATTCATATTAGTGAAAAATAGATAAAATTTAGATTTATAAATCATAAACCATATTAAAACCATAGACTGCTATTCATGTCTTTTTTAAACTACCATTTATGGACTCAAGTTATTAGATTAATATAAATGATCTATCATTCGGTATATTTAATGTTACTAGATTAGTAATGAGAAACATATAATACTATTTTAGATGTATGGTCTTAAAATATTTTTTTATTTTTATTACAGGTGCTTATGACTTATAAGAATGCCTCAAAAAGATCTTTTGGATCTTCGCTATAGTAAAGGGACATATAATCAACAACTATTGGACAAAGTCTTTTTGATGAAAAAGACGAAATTATCCTGTTTAATGACCTTTCAGGGTACCATTGCAAAACAACGAAATCCTTGGTTGCAACATCGAAATTTTATCAAAGAAATGGATTTGTGTTCGCAATTTTTGAAATATTTTGACTGATTTCTAAAGATTTTAAGACGCTGATTTCAAAAATGCTATCCGTTTTTGGGTAAATCCACATACACCCCGCGAAAAATCGAAATCTTTGGTTGCAAAGTCGTTTTTTTTTTCAAAAATCGAGTTTTTTTCGCGATTTTCAAAATGTTTTGATGTGTTTTGATTGATTTTGAGTCGCTGAATTCGAAAATGTTACCGCTTTTGGATAAATCTGTAAACCTCTGCAAAAAATCGAAATCTTTGGTTGCAAAATCTAAATTTTACTAATGAAATGAACATTTTTTTTTCGCGATTTTCAAAATGTTTTGACCGATTCTGATAGTTTTCGAGGCGCTGATTCCGAATATAAAATCAATTTTTTGAAAAAAAAATTCTTCTGCCCTTGGTACCAAATTGAAGTTGGAAAAATGGCCAACTTTGAAGCTGATTTTAACACTGAAGATGATGATAATTTGTAATTTTTGTGGTTTGGTATAAAGATTGTACTTTAGTCTACACAATGCATTCATTAAAATTATCAATTTCATTTATTAAGGACCTAAAATTGCATTTGAAAGTCACGATTTTGGCCAATTTTGGCTGCTCCTATATAGACTGTTTTTTTATCGGAAAAATAAAATTTTAAATTACACCAAAGTAGGTTTGGTTTACTGTTAACCAGGCGTAAATATAAATTTATTAAAAATTATCCTACTATTTCTTATCTT